GTTGCCTTTCCGGCCCACAGCTTATGTCTGGATTGCTCCAAGGTTTGTTGGCATCCCTATAAAGCAGTATTGCCTCAACCCAACCACACCATGTCAACATATGCAACAGATAAACATATAACCATCAAATAAATAATTATACAGATCTAACAAATCATTACAACATAGCAACATACTATATACCAAGATACATAACCGAATGGACCGACATTAGTGCCTTCGACCCATGAGTACAGTGAGGAAACTCACCTCACAGTCTGAAAACATATCAGAGAAGAACGCCGCTCTAAAATTCAACTCTACAGGTCACCTGTACAACAAATAGTGACCTAAATTCAAACTACAACTCAAAATACTCAAAAATACCCCTAGATCAAAATCCTGGTCAAAGTCAAAAGTCAAAAAGTCAATGAGTCAAATCAGACTGAGTACGCTCGGCGTACTCAACCACTGCGCCCAACGTAGTACACCCTGGGTCTAGTTACGGGGTCTCGACCAGCTTCGTGAATGATGCCTACTAACGGTAAGACTGACTCATCTTATACATATATATACATATTAATCTTTTAATATTATAATAGTATAAGGGTTGTATTTTAAATTTTTTAAATACTATGGTTTTAGAATTTAATATTTCAAAATTAAAACTTTTAATCAAATTTTAAATTCCAAAACTAGAGGGCAAATTTTGAAACTTTTCAAAACTTCTAGTTCAAATTTTAAATAATTAAACTAATCACATAATTTGAACATTATCTTAAAATTTTACCATTATCTTTCAATTAGATGAGGATATTCATTATCATAACAGAAAATTTGAATTTTAACAGTTAAAACAATTTAAGGTAACGATCATTATCTAATTTAGGCTTGAAATCCGAAAAATCTGCCATCTGATGAACCAGCTCGTCGAGTCAGGGCATGAACTCGTCGAGTTGGTCCAACTCGTCGAGTCTATCGTAGGAATCGTCGAGTTCTGCAGTCAGAGAGCCAAAATCGATTTTGTTCCAGCTTTGGCAAAGCACAATAGCATCAAATATAACAGAAAACACCCTAAGCTCTGACACCACTGATGGGTTTTGAGCATTACAACATTCCTATGGTGCACATGCAACCTTAATTGCTTTGGATCTAGGTTTTTCTCAAGTTATACATGCAAATCAATTTTCCAAAGCAAGAACCCTAAACTAGCATACAATTTTCCGATTCAATGAATAAACTAGGGTTAGAAGAATACCTTTCTTTTTAACTAGTAGTAACAAGAAATTTTTTCTCTGATCTTGACCTTCAAGAGCTTAGTGCCTCAAGCATTGCACCTCTAATGGAGTCACAAAGACCACAAGCAAAGAATGAGGAGAAGGAGAGCTGAATTTCGGCTAGGGTTTCCCTTGGAAGCAGTGGCCGAAATTGAGAGGTCAGGGGGCCTTTAAATACTTGTGGCTGCTAGGGTTTCTAGGTGGAAACCCTAATTATTGGCTTAGGCTCCAAGCAGTCCATGAACCCCCTTTCTAGAAGGCCTTGGACGATTTCTATAGGGCCTCCTATAGATTTCGTCCAACCCTTTACAAGGGAGTCCAGCAGCCCAATATTGCAACTATCAGTGATTTGCAATATCAATCTCTGTACTTTTAATCAGTCTCTTTTGATAATTAAATTAATTCTAAATTAATTTCTGATCAATACTAATTAAATAAACCATTTAAATAACCTCTTTCTCCAAAACTCATTCTGTCCAGTTGCTATGGTGAAGGCAACATAAAAAGACCATGCTACTATCGGGTCAAGTAAATACCAATTATAGTTATGGTCTTAGACACCTAATCCAACAAATTCAACGGCTTGAGGTGAATTTCCTCTTTGGGTTTAGCGGGTCGAAGGCACCATTACCGGCCAATGGTTTGATACGTTAGGATGCTAGATGTCTGCGTGACTCTTACATGTTTATGTGTTGTATGCTTACCGGGCGGGGCCCAATGATTATTCTATATGTTATACCTTTGTTATACTTGCATGTTGGGCGGGGCCCATTATGCGAGTTAGGGCGAGGCCCGTTACACTCATTGGACGGGGCTCGTTGATTGACATATCTGTATAACGGGCGGGGACCGATGACGGGCGGGGCCCATTATGTGTTTGATATGTATGGTATACGGTATTTTAGGGAACTTACTAAGCTTTGTGCTTATGGTTTTATGGTTATGGTTTCAGGTACTTCCGGTTCGAAATGAAAAGGGGTCGACTTGATCGTAGTGTATCCACCCATATTTCCGCATTGTGATGATTTTGGGATTGTACTCTGATGACCGATCTATTATGAAATACTTTTAAATGTTTAAATGAAAGATAATCGGTGCTTTGTTTGTATTAAAAATGTAATTTTTACCTTATAATTTTTGGGACGTTACATGATCATTTTATTATAGGACTTTTGACTTAAATGACAATCGAAGTTACAAAAATGTCACCATTTAGCCATGTACGTACACATCGTGACAATTAATCCATCGAACTTCCATTTTTTTATGATATCCTAGTTATGACCTCTTACTCCCAGTTCGGCCCGTTATCGCAAGGACTTTTGACTTAAATGACCATTCAAGTTATAAAAACATCACCATTGGCCATCTAAGTTCAAACGTCACCATTAAGACATTGGACTCTCATTTTTCTTTTTCCTCCTTATAAAGTTATGACCCATTCTCTAACAATTCATCTTTCTAGCAATATATGATCGGCAATTGGTGGCACCCGAATATAAAACCATGCATGTTCTTCTAATGGTTACATACCATCACAAAACCCTAATTGACAAAATAAAATGATTACCGTTCTTTCAATCACAATATATAGATGGAATCATGGAATTAGATAATTGAACATAAAGTAGGAGGAGGGGTTCCAACTTTGAGAAACATCATGTTCGTATAAACGACCCCACCTTCTGCATTAATGTCAACCTCCACCAAATCAGATTAAGATGTTTTGAACCTCCTCACACTCTCGATACTCTTCAACAAATTCCCCATGTAAATGTTATCATACAACTTAGCGTCATGTCCAGGAGCTCCAACAACTTTTGTCACAAACCACATCATACACCTCTTTACATAAAACAACATATAATACTCATTGTGGACGCCAATCCTTTGTCCAACACAATCCCAACATTCTTCTCATCAAAAAATTCCGAATTTGCAAACCTCTTTATCCCATCGTGTTCCTCCTAATCGGGAATAATCGAGATGTTAGTTGTTCTAACATGCTTGATTTTGGAATCATTAAGCTTCTGAATGGCTTTCAGGTACTACAACCTAACCAAGTTCATATTCTATGATCCTCTAACGTAGATGTTGCCATCTTTGGGCGTGATTGCTACATTGAAGGGACTGTAGGACTACTTGTGGGGTTTAACGAGTACGGTATCAGTATGAAGTTGAGGAGAATGAAAGGGAGGTTTGGATTTTTTTTAGTCCGTTTTTGAAAGATTAAGGGTTTGTTTTTAACGAATCCTATGACGCGGGATTCAGATGAGAGAGATTTAGCTTAGGAAAGAATGAAATTTGCGGCTTGATTATAGTTGGGTGATGGGTGTACTTAATTTGAAGATATTGTTGGAATGTTGAGAGAAGGGTAACCAAGATCAAGTAAAAGAGAGAAGAAAATCCATTAAAGCTTTTGTCATCTTCATGTGTGATTATCATTTAGTAACGCCTTGTTCCCGAGTTATACTTAAGGAGAGAAATGGAAGGATACGGAGGGAAAGTGAGGGGTGTCGAAGGAAAATCATGTTCCCGAGTTTCATTAATGGAAGGAAAGTGAGGGGAGGGAAAAGATTTTGGAGTCATATTTTCCTTCCAAATTTTCCTCCCAAATTGGGCGGATTTGGTAAGAAAATGAGGGGAAGGAAAATTTTAAGTTTTATTTTCTTTTTCCTTCTAACTTGGGAACACAAAAACTTAAAATTTTCCTTTCATTTCCTCTCATTTCCTTCGAACTCGGGAACACAAAATAATGAATATTTTCCTTCACTTTCCCTTCTTTCTGTCAAATTTTCCTTCCCTTTTCTTTGATGAATTTACTAAAAAACTCGGGAACAAGCCGTAAATGACTAAATGGTAACGATTTGAAAGTTGTAAAAAGGGAAATGAGAAAACTAAAAACCAATTAACTTAATTGTCACGATTTAAACTTAAATTAACGTTTTTGTAATTTCATTCATTTAGACTTAAATAATACTTTATTATATTCCGGATAAATATTATCTATTTCCTAATATATTATTATTTTAGTGAATAAATAAGAATATTTCAAAAGTTTATATCTCATACTTATTGCCCTTTGGCGAACTAGCGGTCTTAGGGTTTATAGATCAAAATCATAAATATATATTTCTATGGGTTTTGATCACAATATGGTCTACTTTTCGATTTGAACGTGAAATCGAAGATGCCCAAACAAGATCAAATCTTATAGTGATTTGAATTTCTTCATCAATCAGTCCCGTTTTAACTGGTAAATATTGCCTTCTCTTTTTAATGAACGTAATCATGTTATTCAGAAGTCTAGGGTTTCGGTTTCAATCTCAATTTTCGATTTTTGATGTCGAATGCCATCAATTAACTACTTCTTTATCTTCATCAGGTCGACTTTTTTGAATTAATCACTAGTTTTTACGATTTCTTAGAATTTCAAATTCGTTGTGATCGCTTGTTATGTTAATTAGCGGCTTTGTTAATTCCGTCAACTATAATTTTGATAATAATCGATGGCGCCATGGAATTCTTCTCAATCGCTTCATTCGAAAGTTTAAACATGATCGTTAGAGAACGTACAAACCTAATTGCAATCATCTTCCTCTGATCATTGTTTGCTTGTTTAAATTTAGAACAATAATATGCGATTAAACGTGATGAGATTCATGATTGTGGAAGTTAGTGATTAATCATAGTAAAACCATGCAGAGAACGAGTGAAGAAACACAAAATCCACCATTGAAGCTCATGGAGTGCAATATAGATGAAGCTACGAGGGCCAAACCAATTGCAGAAAAGAAGTTTGCTGATAAAGATTACACAGGTGCCAAGAAATTCACTTTAAAAGCTCAAACCCTAAATCCATTACTTGATGGTATATCTCATATGTTAATCACTCTTGATGTCTACATCTCCTCTGAGAACAAAATAAATGGAGAGTCAGATTGGTACAAGGTTCTTGATGTAAAGCCATCTGATGATGATGAAACAATCAAGAAACAATACAGGAAACTTGTCCTCATACTCCATCCTGATAAAAACAAATCAGTAGGTGCAGATGGTGCATTTAAGATAGTTTCAGAAGCATGGAGTTTGTTGTCTGATAAGGCTAAAAGATCAGCATATAACCAAAGAAGGAATTCATCACAAGCTTCTGGTGTCAATGGAGTTCATATTCGTGTAAACAGAACAACAACAAGAAGAACAACAAGACCGAAAAATCAGAATTATAGGGGTTTTGTTTCTACTTCTAAATTAGATAGTTTTTGGACTATTTGCCATGGATGCAAGATGCATTATGAGTATCTAAAGGTGTTTGTGAATCATACACTTATTTGTCCCAATTGTCGCAAGCCTTTTCATGCTGTGGAAATGGCAACACCAATGAATATTCCGATACCAGGGTACCAATATGCTTATCAATGGAATCAGAATTCCAGTGATCATGGAATGTGTAATTCCGGGAGAAGAATGGGGGCATCAGGCATCCACTGGGGCTCTTCATCAGGAATGAAGGTGCCTGATGACATGTTGAGAAGAGAAGGTGGAGTTTGTTATGTTCAGCCACCTTTGAAAAGGAGAAAAGTGGAGGTGAGATTTGGAGAAAATTAGAGAATGACATGCAGATAACAAAAATTAGAACTACTTTTTATGATAATGGTGTAAATAATGTTAATGGTGCTATGCAAAAGATAGTGTAAGCGGATATTATGATGATGATGATGATGATGATTTCAGTTTTGAAAAACTTCATTTTTAGACTTAGTTATAAACTTAAAATTTAAATAAAACAAAAATGTAATGATAGAAATACACCTAATTGTGAAGAGTAAACTGGAATCGATTATTTTCTGTCCAGTTTTCACCAACACAGTTAACACCTCTTTCAGTTTAACCTACACATATAATAAGAGAACATAACTTGATTATTATAAAACTAAGATAATAAGTCAACAACATAAAACAAAGTAAAGTAAAGAAATTGTTAAATTGATTAAAGATTGAGTCATAAGTCAATTTATTTAAAATTTAAATTGATTAAGATAATGAGTCATAAGTCAATTTACTTAAAATTAACACATATCCAAAATCAAGAAATTGTTAAATTGATTAAGAAAATTCTGAAATTAGAATTTCAGAATCGAGATTATGTTTGCAGTCTTACAGAATCGAGATTATGTATTGCAATATCACGTCATTTTTTATTTAATTAAATTAGAAAATATAAAATAAAATAAAACATAACATTTTTTTATTTAAAAATAAACATTTGCTAATTTAAAACAAAAAAAAAATCTCAAAATAATATTAAAAATAACATTTAATTAAAAAACCACATTACAAATTAAAAAAAATACACGATAATTAAAAAACACACTTAAACAAGACAAAATAAATGAAATGTAAAATTTTTCATTGAAGCTAACTGAAAATAGTGATTGAATTATATTTTTTTTTAGAAAAACCACACTACAAATGAATGAAAAGTGTACACAAATAAGCTTATAAAAGAAAAAAAATAAAAAATAAATAAAAGAAAGAAAGGAAGCCATATGAATATGGTCATAGGTCAAATGCATTTAAAATAATTCAAAATACTCTCCGTCCTGCCTTAGAAATCATAAGGCTAGAGAGTGTGAGGTGTGGTAAAAATGAAATGGAGCCCATGTGACATGTTTTACCAGACTGAATACCACGTTTTGTCCATGATTTGTGCCATGCGATTTGATGAATGCCTCTCTCTCTCTCTCTCATTTTCATGGCTAAAATAATATCCCATGCCTAATGTATGGTATTGTTAGTGGCAAAATGAGGTGAAACATGGTAAGAACATCACACCTTACTGCCTAAGAGATTGGCTAAAAAGACATCTCATGTGAAGTAAGACAGTTCAGTGGTTTAATTTAATGATTTTGATTTGATGATATAGCTTTCCTAGATATGTGGGGAGAAGCAAAATTGATAATTATTAGGTAGAGGCCCAATGGTAGCTTCGATCGTTTGTCTTCCTTTTCCCCGATTTGCTTCCAAATAATTTTTCTGAGTTTTGCCACTTGCTTCTAGTGTATTAGACAGAAAAAAAAAATCCCTTATTAATCCTTTTGAGATTTGCCGTTATATCGTGACAGTTCAATTAATAAATCAACTTAGTAATGATTTATGGACACTTCAATAAATAATAAATTAATTTTTTTTAGTATTTTTGCTGTACAATCTTAAGCTAAATATGTAACTTATAGAGACCCATGTAACTACTATGTCACTAACATGTTGTGTGACAATAAACATAGTTCCAACAAATAAAAATATGGCATACATGTTGTGACAATAATCAACTTTTTGAAAGTTGGACTACACCTATAAATTTCACAGCCACAAAAACCATTTATGTAATTTACTACTATAATTTTAAATTCTAAAAAATAAAAATATGGCATACATCTTTGCCGTTCAACTATTTTTTTGGGTAAAATTGGGACTTGTTTCATAGTTGAAGGATGTATTTGCAATATCACTTTTCATTCCATTTACATCACGGCGAACACGCAGTCGGAGCTTCGACGATGATTAACAACAGTTACGTGATTCCGAAGGATCAGAGGCATATCCAAGGGCCGATCTAGGGTTCGTAAAGCGGACATACGCCATCGTTATAAATCTGGTGAGTTTTCCATAACATTCGCAAAATCTCTTATATATCCGTCCTTTCATCCATTGTCTTCGTTGATTTTGATGATTGCATGTGTGATTGGCTTGCATTTACAATTCAATTTGAATTTCTTATCTTATCTGAACGTGTACTCGATTGTATTATAGACAACCAATATTTCACAATTAACATTAGATCTCAGTGGAATTCTCTGTTCCTATTGTCGATTACGTTCATCCCCTGCTTGATTGGGGTTTCACAACTAAATTTGGTAACGACATCGACGGATATAGAGGAAAAATCATGTTATTGTTAGCATTTGACAATCAATGGAGTTAGATCAACACTAGAAAGACGATAATTGGTCTTATTCGATTAGGTCCTTCAACATTCAACAACGTGATGTCGTGTTCTGTGTTCATTAGCTTGATCTTCGATAGATACATATGAAACCCCCAAAGTGGATGACAAAGAATGTAGGAAAATGATGTAAAATATGACATCCAATAATAAAGCCTAGCCATTTAACATCATCATTATGCAATTTATATGGATATTCATATGAAAATGCACCACGAAATGACAATTTGATCATAGTCGTATTTACCTGATGCTGTAAGAAATTATGAACAGGACATCTTAAATTCCAAACAAGAGTTTGAAAAGCTGCAGATGCTTGACATTATACTTGAATACACACACAGATACATTAGTGTAATTTAATTTCTGAAACCTCTCATTACTTTTTTCAGATCTTGGAGATGATCATATCCTGGGTTCACAATTAAAATTTTCTATTTCATAGCACCATCAACATGTCTTCTGCTCAAGATCCATTTTACATTGTGAAGGAAGAAATCCAAGAGTCTGTAAGTCTGTTTTTCAAGCTTTCATTTTGCTGCAATTTATGATGAATCAAGTTATGTTCTTTGTTGATTTATATAGAAACATTGATGAGCATATCCATTTCACAGATTGATGCATTACAAGCTACTTTTCATCAATGGGAACACACCCCTGTAGCCAGTGGGGCCCAAACTCGACTTACAAACGAACTTCTTTCCAATTGTGAGAGTATTGAATGGCAGGTATGCATCTGAACATAGAATTTGTCGTTCCATAAAAGATTTAAGAATGTAGCAAAACATTCTGAAAATCTATTTTGCTGATAGGAAGGTGGATGAATTGGAGAAAGCTATTTCTGTAGCAGCTAGAGACCCTGCTAAATACGGAATTGATCCACCCGAACTTGAAAGAAGATTTAAATGGACAAGAACTGCTCGGACTCAAGTCAATTCTTGATCTAATTTTAAAATATATATATATTTTTTTATATAAACATTAAAATTCACACAATTGATTTGATTCAGGTGGTGAATGTTAAGAAATCAGTGATGGGAACAGACTTGAATGGCAGAAGCTCTTCCACATTTAGTGGGATGCGTCAAGAACTAATGAGTCTGCCAAGTCCACGTCAGCAAGACAGAGCCAGCCATTATATTGCTAAAGATCATGATGATTTCATTTCTTCAGAATCCGATAGACAATTGCTTTTAGTCAGGTAGATAATGTGTAGTTATTATTACTATGAACTATTTGCGAGTGTATGTAACTAATTGGTGAGTTAATTAGGCAACAAGATGAAGAGCTGGATGAGTTAAGTGAAAGTGTCCAAAGAATTGGATCTGTTGGGCTTACCATACACGATGAACTCCATGCACAGGAGAAACTTCTAGAAGAATTGGGTTCCGAGATGGATAGTACATCCAATCGTCTTGATTTTGTCCAGGTTAGTCTCATCTCATATCCTATCCATTATCCACAACACATGACATAACAGGTTGTACTGTGTTTGTATACAAAACAGTATGCAGTACATGACATGGCATATCAGTGTACTGGTTTTGGTGTACATGACATGTTACATTGGACTTGGACTGAGACTTATAGTTGCTCTAGATCTTCTATATGTAAAATGAAAAAGACGTAAATACCCTTCTCATCATCTGGTTACATCAATCAAATCTTAGCAGAAAAAAGTGGCGGTGGTGATGAAGAAGGCTAGTGCCAAGGGACAGATGATGATGATCTTGTTCTTGATCGTTCTGTTTATTGTTTTGTTTGTGTTGGTTTTTTTCACCTAGAGGTTACTACAAGTCATTTGCCTAGCTATGATTCTATTTTTTTATTATAGAAAAATTTCAGTTTTGACTTTTGACAATAAACAACAACACAATGTAAACTTGAGCAAATTTTGAGACATTATTCTAACAGCCGTTTTTAGGTACTTAATAGTCTGTTTATATGTGAGAGAAGTACAAAAAAAATACATAATTAAAACGAAGCTAAAGACAGAAGGGGAAGAATTAATGCTCAGGAGTTACCGACAAGAACATCCTTGTACGGAGTTGTAGGAACTGGCGGCGCTTCCGGTTGTTCTGTGGTGGCTTCCATCGCCCTTGGCCACTTTCTCCGTTCTTCTGTAAGAAACGGCGTTTGCCCTTCACGTATTCTCATAAGTCGTTCTTGTGCTCCACCTCGTAATTTTTCCAACCTTAACCTATCCATCTGAAACATCTTGAACACTTTAACCACATTTGCTAATCCACCAATCAACAACAAAAAACTTGCGAACATACCCATCCATATCCACGTCCTTGTCTGCAAAAAAAAAAAAAAAAGTCAGCCACCACCCACCATTTCCGGCGAAGTTCTGTTGACACGTACGTACCAGTAGAAGCAGACCATGACGTAACATTCCGGCTTGCTCATGCTCACGGCTGTTAAGAATGGCGGCCACCATGAACAAGAAGCTTCCTGTTAAAAACGGGATCTGGACACTTTGTTGCAGGATTTGGACATGTCCGTCAGCTCTCTCGTAGATCTGGCATGAATTTAGTATCGAACCAATCACCCATAACACAGCTCCGGCAATAATCATGTTCATCGCGTGATCCTCTCCTTTATCCTCCTAAAAATTATTAAGTGTAATTACTTTGTGATTTTTGTGTAAGTTGATATTATTTATGATTTATCTTACTTGGATGAGGAGAAAAAGAAGGGCTAAAAAGAAGAGAATCGCTCCCAAGGTCTGAACCACCGGTACGGCGATCTCCACCAACGGAAGTTGAATATCGAGTTCCATTAGTCCGATTCTGTAATCGATTCCGGCGAGATGTGCGATTAGATCGTGTACGTTCACCACTATTATACATGTTAATCCTATCATCAGTAAAACCGACCCTAATATTGGTTGACTCAAAAGCAACGCAGCGAATCCACATATCAATACAATCGCTGAGAACACGTAAACTCCGGCGTTCATATACTCCGCTCTGTTCCGGCTCAGCCGTGGCCCGTACATTCTGCACTCACGCGCCGTCGCCAGCTTCACCATTTTTCGACTGAATTGAAAGAGATAAACTGAATCGAGTTCTGCTACCAGAGCGATTGGTTGCAGTTGTATCACGTAGAGAAGAGAGGGAGGTGGTGACTGGTGAGTTATGAGTAGGGGTACGTGGCGGCGTGCATGGAGGTTTGGAGTTTTTTAATCAAGTGACAGTATCTGACACGTAGTAGTGGACTCATTTTTCAGAATAGATCCCTGAACTATTTGGGTTTGACCGCACCTACCCATGGAGACGTCACCGGTGGAAATGGGAGTCGAAAGTCTTGTTCGACAGCTTGGTAAGAATTTATGGCAGGAAAACGGGCATAATCTTGGCGGAAATGGTCAGAGAAGACGGCCAACCTGATAGTGCCCATAAACTGTTCGACAAAATGCCTAGCCAAGTTAACTGTATGACGTAGAAATGAGATCGGTAAAATAGACAGCTTATAAACTAAATGTGAGACTTCCAAATATAGCAGTCCAAAAAAAGCTTATATCCAAATAATTTAACGCATATTTTTATACATGTTAATTAGAATATAAGTGGATCAATAGCCAGTATTTGGTTCATGGATTATTATAGTCTATTAGGAAGTTTTGGTACATCTTTTTATATCATGATTGTTAATACCAATACATGCACCCGATACTCTACCATGTACCTATCTAGCGGGTGTTTGTGATTGCTTATATAAACGGTCTATGAGTTTATATTGGTTTGACATTGATAATAAGCAGATTTTAGGGTTTGGATACATTTATATATTTAAATAAAAAATTCTTTTTATTTTTTTTTAAACGGCAAATCTAACCTACTCCTAAACTACACCTTAAATTCACCTATGTCTACGACGAGACTTGAACCCTCAACCTCAAAGGGAAGGACAACACCGGATACCGTTGGACTAGAAGCCATTTGGTAAAAAATTCTTAATAAGTTGGTTTCTTCTTACTTCTTTATTAGAGCAGGAAACCTAATTATTATTTTTACCTCTATCTTAACCTTAATACTTCTTATATATCGTTATATATCGACGTCTTTGCTATTTTTTATTCACCATTTTTTTCTTCACGACTCAAAGGTTCCAACGTTAATCTTGAACTGTCCTCGTTCATCTCCTGCAACTTGATCATTACCTTGTAATTTCTTATTTTTATCTAGGAATATATACACTAAAGTTCCAATATTTTCAACGATTTTATAAGAAAGTCCTAAATTTTATTTTTTTAATAGTAAAGTCCTAACTACCAATAGTTTTTGACATGCTTATCCTTTTTTTGCCGGTTAGCCGGTAATTAGAATTTTACTGTAAAAAAAATAAAGTTTAAGGCATTTTTGTCAAATCGTGAGTTAAGGTTTTACTGTAAAAAAAATAAAGTTTAGGACTTTCTTGTCAAATCGTTGAAAATATTGGGACTTTAGTTTATATATCCTTTTTTTTGTTAGAAATCTAATGGTATGATAGTCTTTAAGCATAAGAGTTATTGAAATCTACTCTGCTCAGCTAGTAACTATTGAAATCCTTAACGTTTGCTTCTTGTTAAATAATTTTTTTTTTTTTTTTTTTTTTTTTTTTTTTTTTTTTTTAATCTCAACAAACCGACATTGAAAAAAATGGAGATAATAAAAAAAGAAAGAAAGAACTAGGGTTGTGTTGGCTTTTTGTAGTCCTAAAAATGGATAACTAAGAAACCGAAAAAGATGAAATTGCCTTTCTTACCCCCTTCTCTACATTGACACCCTTTTGACTAGGCGTGTGTTGTTTGTATTTGTACAATCTGTCCCCTCTTTTCAGTTCAAGATTTGGCGGCGAACCAAGAATAAAGTTTTACAAGTATTTTCACCCTCTTTCGCTCTCTCTCTTTTTGCATCTGTTTCCACTGACCGTGATTGTAGCAAAGTAAAGATGGTGATGGTAAGAAAAACAGTGGTCCTGCGACGGAAATTACAATTAAATGTTCTTCGGGCTACGAATTGGGTCTCACGAGGCTGGTAAAATTATTTGTTTCTAAGGAAACCAAAACTATACACTAAAGTCTCAATATTTTCAACGATTTGACAAGAAAATCCTAAACTTTATTTTTTTAATAATAAAGTCATAATTACCGTCTAACCGGCAAAAATGGTAAGCGTGTCAAAAACTGGTGGTGATTAGGACTGTGAAAAAAATAAAATTTAGAATTTTCTTGTCAAATCGTTAGTTTATATATCCATTTTATCTATTTTTTAAATACTATGCAATTGTATCACCATTTATTTTATTATCTTCTCTCTTCTTCGACTTTTCCAATGATCTAAAAGTTCCTAATTTTTTTTTTTATCTCACTACTCTATATAGGATATTAGACATATTGCCTCCTAAGATCTATTCTAATACATCCATACTTAGTGTCAATCAAATGGAAAAGCAATGTTGACCACATTAGACTAAAAGGTTTACATAAATCTAAACATCAAGAATCAAAATAATCGTTAAAAGATGTAATTAATAAATTTTTTAATTATTATATGCTATCTTTTACGTATCAAGATTTAGCTTCATAAATCGATAGTTTAGGTTCATAATTGGATGATTTTGTATTTTTTTTCTAATAAATTTAAAGAACGTTATTGATATTTCTGGTTGTATATTTTTATCTTATAATAATTGTTTTTAAATCTATTAAAAATAATCATATACATGTTAATCCAAACATTCTTTTAAAATCTTATTTTGATATCGGATAAATTAATACACTTTTACGAATAATAATAAACTATTTTAAATGAACAATCCCAAAACACCTCATAATTACATGAGATATAAGTTTTAGATATTTATGGGATAACTAATATCACTATACTATGACATCATCATGGTGCCTTTGGCCTTTAAGGCTGGCCGATATGGATGTGTAACATTTGGTGCCAAGTGCAATTCAAATTATAGCTTAAAAACGCAAAATTATTACATTTGTAGTCCTTACGCTTGGCGTAATTGGAGCTACGCCCCACATAGCTCATTTATCTTTGATCGTGGACTCGGATTCGTACGTTGGGCGTACGTTGTAGTACGCTGGGCGTACTCGCGTAAAGGTCAAACCCTAAGTTTTAGGGTTTGGACCATATTTAAAGATTATCATGACCTCAAACATGTCCCTACCTCCGACCTCCATTCCTCTAAACCCTAAGATCGAAAACCCTAGCCTTGAGAGTGAGTTTTGAAGCTTTTGAGTGAGTTTTGTGTATTCTTGTTTATGAAGGAAGATCATCAAAGAAGTGGTTTTGCTCTCAAGTCTTTGGATCCAACAATTACTCAACCTTGTGCATCTTCTGGAGGTATAAAGCTCCAACCTTGATGCATATTTCTTTAGATCTTGTTCAAGCTTATTTACACTTTTTTTTTGTCCCAAAACCTTGATCTTTGTGAATATGAAATACCCCAGAGCCTTTAAGCTATCCTTTCATACGTTTTAGGGTGTTTTATGTCATAAAAGTGAAAGCTTGGATCCTGTTCTCTACCATGCAAGAGTTATGGAGTTGTAAATGGTTGAATGAGTTACGATTTTGATATTGGGCTCCTTGTAGCCATGCAAAGGCATAAAGGTTGCAACTTATGGCCTTAGCCATTTTATTAAGCTTAGATCTGAAGTTGGATGTGAAGTCTTAATACATTAAGACCACTTAAATAGAGTTTGGATGTCAGGGTATTACGCAGGACATAATGCTCTGTATGCTGGGAGTAGAGGGCTGATGCCATGTAACCTTTCCTTTGAAAACCAAGTCGTACGCGGGGCGTAGCAGTGAGTATGCCGTGTGTACTCTCAGAAAACCCGCTTAAGCCATTCTTTTGGGCCTTGGACCATTAGGGTTGGGATTGTTAAGTTGGGCTATGAATGGGAAGGGCAAAATGACCTTTTAGCCCTTATTAAGATAAAAGAATATTTAGACTGTTTATTATGGGTTAAAAACCATAATTATTGATTAGGGTTATTTTTGGGATATGATTAGTGTGAGGAGCCATGTTAGCAACAGCTCGAGTGTGCGGTTCAGTTATCTTCGTATAGAGGTGAGTCTTCTTACCACATTAGTGGGTCGAAGGCACCAATGTCGGCCCACTAGTTTGTATGTGTTGGATGTATATGATTATGTGACTATGACTGATATGATTAAACGATATATATATATATATATATATATGTATATATATATATATATATATATATATATATATATATATATATATATATATATGGGTGAGATCCGTTGAGAACTCATAGTTTCCCGAGAACCCGAGAATTAAATGTGGAACATTATATCAAAATTAACTCATTAAGGGCATGATCGTCATCTTACCAATCTCATTTAATGTGTAATTTTTTGTGATATTGGAAATACTAATAAAAATATCAAAAAATTAACATTATAAATCAAAATTTCGGATTTTATATGAATATAATAATTTTCGATATTTAAAAAAATGTAGATTTTTTTAATTATTTATAGAAAACATGAATTTTTTTAAAAAATTTAAAAAATATTTTTCAAAAACTGCAGTTTTTTAAAAACAGTAAATTTAAAAAAAAAACAGTAATTTTTTTTATAAAAAACTAGAATATTAAAAAAAACTATATTTTTTTTAACAAAAAAAAATCAACGTTTTAGGTGCATATATGCATATTTTTTCTAGTGCATATGTATACATATTTTTTATACTATAATATTCGTAGGTAGATAATAAAAAACCTATTTTTATTACTAATTTATAAACACAATAATACTAGTATTTTATTCGAGACAAAATATAATATAAAAAAACAAAAAATGCTACAAAATTTCAAATCGTTTTCACGTCTTCGTGTCAAGATTTCTATATTTTCTTCAATTTATCATTTTTCACCTCTTCAATATTTTCCACAAATTCTTCCAAATCTACAAGAATATTTAAAAATAAAAATGATTAATGCAAGAACACTTTTATATATATATATATATATATATATATATATATATATATATATATATATATATATAGAGAGAGAGAGAGAGAGAGAGAGAGAGAGAGAGAGAGAGAGAGAGATTCACATATGATTATATCATGTAAGATTCACATCTGATTGTATCTTTTAAGATTCAAATATGAAAATCATAAAAAAAATTTAAAAAATAATTAACGGACCCTCATACAAAATGCATGTGTGTATATAGACGTAATTCATATGTGATTCACTTGTAATTTACATGTGAATCACGTGTAATTCATACGTAATTCACTTGTGATTTACATGTGAATTACATGTGATTCATATGTGCATTACATGTAATTTACATACGAATCACATGTAATTCATATGTGATTCACTTGTGATTTACATGTGAATCACATGTGATTCATATATGAATTACATGTGAATTTCATATGTAAATCATATTTGATTTAAATGTGAATCACATGCGATTCATATATGAATTACATGTGATTCATATGTAATGCACTTGTTATTTACATGTGAATCGCATGTAATTCAAATGTGAATTACATGTATATAATGAAATAAAAACTAATAAACTAGCTGAAATAGATTAAACAAGATATCTAAATTTTAAAAAATATTAGGAATACAATGGTTAATTACCTATGGTGCAACAACTATAGGAGGTGGATTTGTATGGTCAACATTTGCCCTCTTCGTAACTGAAACACCATAAATCAAAATATAAGATAAAGCAAAAGCATACATAAACTCAAAATATTTCCATAATCATATAAAAATTTCCCTACAAGTAATTAAGATTAAGAATAACTAATAATTAATAATTAATAATTTAAGAAACTGGATATTAAGTCAAAAAGGAAGAAATGGTTACTCCGACATCAGTAGCAATGAGCTTTCCAAGACGATTGAGTTTTGTTTCAAGTTCAATGATTGTTTTGTTGATGAGAGATTGAAGGCCTGAAATTCGGGACTTAGTCACTGTTTCTAAATGTTGAAACAATTCATCACCAAAAACTTAATTAACTTCAAAGTTTACACCTCTAGCTAAAAATATAAAAGCAAAAAGGTTTTTGCAAAGATTGAAATCTCAAGTAACATGAATTTGTTATGCATTTAGTTACCAAAAAATGGAATGGAATTCTAGAAAAAAAAACTTCAATAATTTTCTAATTTTTATTTGAAATTAATTTTTTTACTTTCAATTTTTTCAATATATATAATAGGGGTGTTTTGGTCTTTTAATGAAAAAAAAATGAAACTCAATTCCTTACACAAACACACATAGGAATGAAATATGTCAAAGGAGTTGAAATAGAAAGGAATCGTGATCTTTCAAGCATTTGGTTAGCAAAAATTAGAATGGAATTCAACAATGTAAATTAGTTTTTATGTATAATTAAACTTTTATTTCATTTATTTTTGAGGGAAAGAGGACCAGTCCTCAAACAATTTATTGATTTGTTTCAATTAATAATGGAGGTATTTTGGTCTTTTCAATAAAAAAGGAAGGATGAAATTCAGTCACTTCCATCCATTTGGCGAAAAAACACTCCCAATTCCAACAGGAATCCACAAACCAAAATTGAGCTTAAAAAGTTAAGTTAAGGGGTTATACCTTGGAAAGAACTTTTCCTAGACGCTCAGAGTCCATTTTACAAGCAAGATGCTTGTATTCTGGAATAATATTGAAGTATTCCCATTCCATCCTCCGGGAAACAATCATCTCAACACTTTTGTTAATATCAGCTTGAGATTGATTCACAACACCAATCCATGGAAACTTCACCCTATAAGATTTCCCTTCCAACATTTGTTGTAGTACAACTCACAATTACATTACATTACCTTCATTATAAAAAAAAGAATGCTCATTTCAATACCCAACTCACATCAACTGCATCAGTACCCGTCTCCATTAGATCAATCTTAGTCAGAACTCCAAAAGTCCTCCCCCTTATACATTCGCATTAAACTAATTAAAATAAAAACCAACACAACAAACATCAAGAAAAAAAGACATACATTAAAAAACAAAACAATATGTTTACAAACCTTGTGGATCTACCTCATTATCAATTTTGATAGCATCAGATGTAGCAAGCTCTTGGTTGGCAGGAGAAAATGATAGAATAATGCAATTAGGCTGCAAGGCAAGTAGTTAGACAAATAAGTATGTTTTCAATAGTTGATCGTTATCACTGAGGGATAAATAAGTAAATAGTTGTGTGATCATTAGGAGTTCCAAATATCTATTGAAGTATAAATATATAAATAAACACCAAATTAATAAAAGAAGTATCTGTTTAAAAGGAAGAAAAGGAGTAAAATACATGCTTGTGTGATCATTTCTTTCAAAGTTTCCAATGAGGGTCTTTATCAAAATTTGATGAAAATGTGAGAAGAGGCATGGAGCCTTTGAGATGGTTTCCAGTGAGTTTTAACTCTTCCATTTTATGAACTATAATCAAACATTGAGAAAACTAACATATATGTTTTTTTATTATCACATATAAAGATTCAACATAATCAAATCAGAAGTAATTTTAATTAATTATCTGCATTCACTAAAAACTTTACAGATGAACCATTAGGCCATTTGGACATCCACAAGTAAAGATCTTTGTGTTTTTCTGCACTGAAAATAAGAATGAAAATGTAACTAAGATGAACCACATAAATATGCTATCAGATGTTGAGTACCTATGATAATAAATCTGGAACTTTCTCTGATACATGATAGAGGTATTGATGTTAATTGGTATGAGAAAATTATTAAGACATAAAAGTGACAATGTTGAAGAACTATTCAATGGCCATGTTTTAATAATGGATTCGTTTTTGTGATCAGATGAGTAACTCTTAAGTTCACAGATAATCTATGATTCAGAAACAGGGGATAACAAATGTATCAATAGCGACAGTCAAATCGGTTCACAGTAAAAGCATCTTCAGTGGAGAATGTTTTCGTTTGAGGTGACGAAGGAGACTCGGGCATGGATTAGATCAATTGATCCATGGAACGAAATCGATCAATTGAAACGTGATATATGCAGAAAGCAAGGTAGAGAATTCAAAACTTTGAAACCTGATATATGCTCTAGCTATCAGTTTTGGATCTTAGGAACCAAAAAAAACTAGAAAATTCAATGATTAGAAGAAAATTACCTTCACTATGTGATTAATGATGAACTGTTGATGGTCGATGGAGAGTGAGGGAGGCTGACGTGGAAGATCTTTGATTGAGAGAGTAGTAGATCGATGTTGGGAGGAAGGAGAAGAAATCGTCAGTTTATAGGAGACGATGGTGATGACGTAGGTCTTACAGGAGGCGATGGCGGTGATGTGATTTCTATGGGAGATTGATGGACTCCATGGCGGTCATTTAAGGGTTTAGGGAGAAATCATCCACCAAAAGATATAATCTTTGGAACTCGGAATGTGGCGTCTGGTTTGATGTTCTCTAAACGGGGTCAAATTCTGTATCCCTAAAATACCCCTAATGCCATTTTTTTTAAGTACCCCCGTTCATTTACTTTCCCATTTATTTACAAAAATGCCACAAAGCATCTTGACCATCCTTTTTTTATCTAACGAACGACTTTTAGTTCTCGGGTTCTTGGGAAACTATGAGTTCTCAAATGATCCTACCTCTCTCTTTCTCCTCTCTCCTCTCTCTCTCTCTCTCTCTATATATATATATATATATATATATATTATATATATATATATATATATATATATATATATATATATATATATATAGAGAGAGAGAGAGAGAGAGAGAGAGAATCTAGGCTCGGAGTCATTGTGGACTCGAGGATTGATACGAACCCGACACATCTACTTTCTGTCATATGGGGTTGATACGGACCCGACACAACCATGTGCTGTTACATGTATATGTGTATTGTATGTGGTATTTTGGGGAAGCTCACTAAGCCTTGTGCTTACAGTTATGTTTATGGTTTCAGATACTTCCAGTTCGAGAGGGAAGGGCCCGACATGATCACAGCGCATCCACCCATATTCAATTTTTTTTTGTGTTTTTCACTTCTTTTTATGATTTGGATTTGTACTCAGATGATCTTTCTCATATTGACATACTTTGTTTGGGGTTGTTATGAATACTTTATGGTTTTCGATTAAATTAAAAATGAAAAATTTATCCATGATTTTGGGGCGTTACAAGTTGGTATCAAAACATTGGTTTTAGGGATTCGGGAACACTTTCGGGTGTGCCAGAACTCAAACTGAGGAAATGATAATCTTTTAAAAAAATGAATTTCTAAAATATTTTTACAAAATAGAAAAGGGGTGTGAGGCGTGCAATCAGCCGAGCTCAAGTAAATAATTCTCAAAATACCCATACTTATGTCTTATGATGCCTGATATATGAATTGCAGGCTAGAATAGGGCAAAGGGTCCCTGCAAGAATCATATGATAGAAATGTATGATTTGTGTGATGTCGTATAGCCTAGGAGAGTTGAATGGTATATAATACTTGGAATTGATATCACCTCAGTTAATTACTAAGTGCATGCTTTAAATGTTGTATACAATTAGGAATATATAGACCAAGAATGATCGATTTAGCCTCATTTCCTGTTCCTTTTTTGGTTGTGGACTTAGGGTAGAATCATCATTTTGACAATCTATGTGATCCCATTTTGTGTATAACTTGCATGTATAAGGTAACCAGTGGTGTGGATTGAGAGTTCTTAGTATCGATTGGGCGGTTTAGGGAGAATTCCTAAAAGAGTCTATGGATGTTATACTAGAACTTGTATGCAGTATAACATAGTATTGATGTATGAATTTAGTGTGGTAACTTAGAGGATCTGGGATGGTGCTTGACGAGAGTATAGACTAGTGCGGAAGGTAGTATTGGGCCTGTACTATTGAAAACACAAGATCTGTACTCAAGACAAGGACAATCTTCGGGATTCTAAGTAGATTTGTGGTGTAAGGGTTTCCTCAAATTATGTTGATTGATTTTATGTTTGTATTTTCAGTTTGAGTATGGTAATGGTCACTCGAGGAGGAGGTTCTGGCTATGGTTCTGTTCAGGTTCTGGATCGAGCACAAAACCGATTGATGAGAGGTTGCGTGAGTTTATTGCGGCCGAGGTTACCCGCACCATTTTGGATGGTGCCCCTGTGATGTTTGGTACCATCAAGGAGGGGATTATGGAGCTTATGGATAAGCGGCTCAGAGCCTTTTGAGCCGAGATTGGTGCAGGTCAGATAGGAGCACGAACTCCCCCATTCCGGGAGTTCAAAGCTTATGGAGCTCCTGAGTTCTTTAGGGCTAAGGACCCATTCGCTAGCCGACGCTGAATCGCTGACATGGAAAATGCTCAACGGACGAGTTTTTTCCCTGAGGGGGCAAAGGTAGGGTTTGCATCCTGCCTACTGAGGGACCGGGCACGTGACTGGTGGGATGAAGTTGGTCGAGCTATCAGGAGTACGGCTATGACAGTAATATCTTGGGAGGAGTTCGTTATGAGATTTCAGAGGGAGTTTGCACCGGCGATCGAGATGCAGCAACTGGAGAGGGAGTTTCAGGACCTTCACCAGACTACTGAGACTGTGGCGGAGATCACCACCAAGTTTTGTGAGAGGGCTCTATTAGTTCCGCAGTACGTTGCGGGCGAGGAGATGAAGAAGACAAGATATCATCACATGCTAAGGGATGACATCAGAGAGTTTATGAGCTTTTCGGGGCGCAAGGCCCTGAATGATATGATCGAGAGGGCCTGTGAGCGTGAGATTGAGTTGGAGCTTCGGACGAAGCGCAAGCCGGAGCAAGTGTAAACGTCTACGGGCCAGGCAAAGAGACCCAAGACTGAAGAGCCACATTCTATGGAGCAGCAGGGTCGGGGATGCTGCAGCAAGTGTGGCAAGCCGCACAATGGGGTATGTCGATTGGTGGGTTCTGGATGTTTCAGGTGTGGTCATACTGGGCATACGAGTAAGTATTGCCCCCGGAGTGCATTGATCTGTTTTCACTGCAACTAGACAGACCATAAGAAGGCTGATTGCTTGAGGTTGTCAGGAGGGGCAGTGGCGACATCAGCACCAGCCACTTTGAGGATTACCGATGGCCGCTAGGGTAAGGCGGAGATACATGTAGTGAAGAGTTGGGCATTTCAGCTGATTACCAACAAGGCTCGAGCAACATTTGATGTGGTTACCGGTACGTAATTTCATTATGTCTTTTATTATTACTTTTCTTATTTATGCTTATGTTGCATCTGATCCTTTGTATCTCTTGCACTTAGAAAGAAGTTTAGTTATGCTCCTGGATTTCTGGATTATCCATTAGAGGTCGATTTTTCTTGACGTCCGATCTGTGAGTGCTTCGAGGATTCATCGGGGATGTGTTCTGAACTTGTTCAACGAGAGGTACTCTATTGATTTGGTGTCGATTCCTCTGTGAGGGTCGAAGGTTATTATCGGGATGGACTGGTTGGGTCCCAATGGGGACATGATTGGCTATGAGCGCCAACTAGTGAGAGTTTGAACCCCAAGTGGGGGAGAATTGGTTATTACTGGTGAGAGATCTTCGCATGGGTCAACTCTATGTTCAACTGCGAGGGACAGGAGATATCTTCAGCAGGGTTGTTCTGAGTTTTGGCTTACGTGGAAGATACTTGGGCTGGGGGCATGATGAGTTTCGCATTGACTTAGTTCCTGGTGCGGCCCCGATGGCCAAAGCACCATATCATTTGGCATCGCCGAAGATGCAGGAGTTGTCTACGCAGCTTCAGGAGTTGCTAGACAAAAGGGGTTTATTAGACCGAGTAGCTC